TTAAGCGATTTCTGTTGCCATCTCGTGGCGGAACTTCAACCGTCTTTGCATTGCTCAGTATGGCAGGCTGATGGCTCCCAGCGTGCTGAATCTTCGAAATGATGAATATTTAAAATAGGCACTATCCTTATTTAAAAAAAAACTGCATAGTTGCAATCTTAACAGCTACATTTTCGCCTAAAAAAGCCTCAAAAGTACATTATGTTGTGCAACACCTGAAATATTTGTCAAATTGTAGTCCTTTGCTTGCCACTCTTGTGGGCGGAGTAATACACAAGGGTGAAGAGGCTGTAGGAGTGCTGATATTACTTTAATATCTCACAGCTATCAGATTTAAGAACCACACAGAACTGTTATATATATATAAACAGATATATCATCAGATTATGTGAATTTTTATCTAAAGGCTCATTGCAGACAACCACTTTTAAGTTTAAACCAATGTGGTCCAAACGATTGACCTGCAACAGAATTCAGGAACTACTTGTCAGCTACATAGTTTATTTCCTGAAAGATGCATTATAATTTTGGTAGTTCAACTGTGAGTTATGTTATGTCAAAAATTTCCAAATGAAATGCCCAATAGAAGTAAAAAATGTCAAAAGATTACCTGGTTTACTTTTTCTTCTAATTTATTTCCTTCTGAACCATCATCATTTTCTTCTTTGCTTTGTTTTACATCAACAAACTTGGCAAAACACGTAGTGTAGTCCTTGTGGGAAAAAAGGTATTACACAAAAATGCACAAGCAATTTTGACATTTCTGGTGCGGGGTTAAAAATCTGTGACAAGAAACGCTTTGTAAGCTTCTCACAAAGATTTGGCAACACACATATAGAACTGTACATAGAAAAACATTTCTCTTCTAGACGTCCAACAAGTTGTCCGGTCAATAATTTATCCGTTAAGAGTCATTTCACAGAAAGCCAGTCCCCGCGTAATCTTTCTTACCATGAGTTTCATCATTCACGGTTGAAGAGACACTTAAAGGCATTGAAAGTCTTTTTCAATTGCCACATCGGGTCAGAAAAGGGTACAAAACTGACAATGGCGGATCACAGCATATGCACAAAGGCCCGAAGAGTCTGATGTTTCATCAACGACAGCGACTATTCTGTGTGTGTGTTTTTTTTTTTTTAATTCTTAAAATAGACGCACTGAGTCATTGGAAAAGCAAGGTGAGAGTCCTGTCTCTTGTTGTCTCAAGGCAGGGATTCACGCTCACACACACACACATTCTGATGGATTTCCAATATCAGTCAAGCCTCATAGTGACAACTGGCCAAAAGCCCTTATTTCTCCTCCTCTGGAGACTCTGGCACCAGATATGTACAGAACATCTGCTTTAAGGTGGTCGTGTGCTTCTTCAGAACATTCGCTGGTCATGAGAATCAACATGATCTCTGTTTTAGTGCGGATAAATGAACCGGTGGCAGTTTTAACCAGTGACTGGCTGAGTATGAAGCAGGCAAGTGTGAAGACTTGCACTTTTGTTCCACATTGCAGAATCTATTGTGATGATGAGAAAATTAACAGCTTTAGGAACAGCCAAGAGCATGTCTGTAATCGCAGCCTATCACTTTATGACAGCAAAAAAAAGAGAGCTGATTGTTATGAATTTATGGATCTAAACTTTATGCGAGTGCTACTGTTATTAATGTGACGAAAGTTAGTTTAGGATTGCATTAACTTAGCCCAAGCTATAAAATAATTGATTGCCTAGAAGGTTGATTAAGGTCATTGAAAGAAATGTCAGGTTATCATTTAAAATAGCCCAATTTTACATTGTATGACACATTTAAAATGGACTGTATATATTCAATTATCACTGTTCTTAAAAGATCAAATTATAAACTTCAATTCAATTCAATTCAATTCAGCTTTATTTGTATAGCGCTTTTACAATGTAGATTGTGTCAAAGCAGCTTCACATAAATGTTCCTGACTGAACATTTGAACTATATTCCTGTGCTTTAAAGAAATAGCCATTGTAATTAATACTATTTAATTAACTTATTTCCCATTTTATTTCTTTCAATTTGAGAATATGCACCCAGCAGGCATACAACATCATAATATTTTAATATTAGGTTAAATTCAGGTCATGACGTGACCAAAATTCAATGTCTAGTCAGCGTCTAAAGACAACGTTATTTTGACGTCCAATAACAATGTCAAATTACAGTGAAATTTGGTTGATTTTAGGTTGTATTTGGAAAGTGACCAAAAACCAATGTCTGATAGATGTCATGGTGGCAACGTCCACACAACGTCAAGGTGTAACATGATTAGACATTAATTTTGGTGGATTTTAGATTGGTCGTTGGACATTGACGTCGGCCTGATGTCAAATTGCATTGATATTTGGTTGATTTTAGGTTCTGTTGAAAAGTGATCAAAATCCAATGTCTGATAGATGTCATAGTGATAAAGCCCACACAACGTCAAGGTGTAACATGATTAGACATTAATTTTGGTTGATTTTAGATTGGTTGTTGGATATTGACGTCGGCCTGACGTCAAATTGCATTGATATTTGGTTGATTTTAGGTTCTGTTGGAAAGTGATCAAAATCTGATAGATGTCATAGTGATAACGCCCACACAACGTTAAGGTGTAACATGATTAGATGTTGATATTTGGTTGACTTTAGGTTGATTTTAGGATGGATGTTGGACATTGACGTTGACCTGACGTTAAGATCTGATGTCAACCTGATTTTCATTTCCAAACAAAATCCAACGCCCCCACAATGGGGTACAATGTCAATATGGCGTCATGTTTAGGTCCTGTGCCTGCAGGGCATTTTACTCCTTATACTAGCACACAAATTTCACATCTTTTATATTATTACTTTGGTTAAATTAGGTATAATACTTATTACACAATAGTGATGATTTGTAAATAGCATTGCCGGTTAATGACCGTGTTAACTAATAACCCTTCCATTATGTAAACCATTCATGTTTGCAGATTGGCAGATTTGTCACTTTTTCACAGCAACAAAGCATGCCCATACCAAATAAATATTCTTTATTACTTGGTGTCAGTGCCATTGCAAACATTATTGATTTTAATATGTATGTGGCAGAACAGTATATAACCGAAATTAATCTAAAAAAAATAATTATAATTTAAATATCTTCAACGAGATTCGAACTTGTACAGTCAAAAAGTTTAACACAAGTATCAATCGACCTATCTAACTGTTTCCATGGACTCGCGTTTACATATTTCTACAAACTCTCATGCTGATATTTTCTCAGAATAGCTCTAAATGACACGAGATGAGATTAGATGTTTTATCGCAGTTAATCAAATCAATGCATGTTTTGTTGAGGGAAAAAAGTGACAAATCTGCCAATCTGAAAAGGTGAATAGTTTACATCTGGTAACAGTCAATAGTAAACACGGTCACCAGTTATACTGTAACACCGGAATTGCACTAGAATTCAACTGATTACAATAGTTAACAATGTTAACTCTACAAGTTACTATTGTGACTGTTAAAAAATTTCCACCTTTTCCACCTTAAAAATGCTCAGTTCATTTTCTTTTACTTTTATTATTGATGAGATGTCCCAGTTTGGTGTCTGCATCCAATTAAATTTGCAAAAGTGATAAGCATATTAAATGCAAGCAAAGTGTCTGCATTCAAATACTTTTTGTGAAAATAAAAATGCTAAAATATAGAAATGTGGGTGAAATAATGTTGCATTATCATTCAGTATAAGATATATATTCATCAAAAACAAATGGGCAAAACAGAGATAACGTTTAAATTGAAAGATTTTAAATGACTATTAATACGTATTTAGGACTGCACTGTGATTCTTAAATAGAGTCTTATTATACGTTATGCCATCAAATGATTCTTTTTCTGATTATGCATGACAAGGTTTTTTTTTACATTAAATTACATTTTAGTGGGTGTCATATGTAAGTTATAGATAAATGTATGATTATTTCTGCTTGGAAATAAAATGAAATAGGCCATTCTAATATATTGGGGCTGGAAGCTGTGTCTAATTATAATTGATTTTTTATTTTTGTTTTGTTTATATATATGTATATATATATTTAAAAAGACAGTTAAAGTCTGAATTGTTAGTCCCCCTTTTAATTTATTTTTCTTTTTTAAATAGTTCCCAAATTATGTTTAACAGAGCAAGGAAATTTTTACAGTATTCATTAATTTATTTTCTTGTCGGCTTAGTCCCGTTATTAATCCGGGGATCGCCACAGCGAAATGAACCGCCAACTTATCGACCACATTTTTACGCAGCGGATGCCCTTCCAGCCGCAACCCATCTCTGGGAAACATCCACACGCACATTCACACACAGACTCATACACTATGGACAATTTAGCCTACCCAATTCACCTGTACCGCATGTCTTTGGACTGTGGGGAAAACCGGAGCACCCGGAGGAAACCCACGCGAACGCAGGGAGAACATGCAAACTCCATTTTCACACTATGTTTGATAATAATATTTTTTTTTCTTCTGGAAAAGTCTTATTTGTTTTATTTTGGCTGAAATAAAAGGAATTACAATTTTTTTTAAGAGCTATTTTAAAGTCAAAATGATTAGCCCCTTTAAGCTTTTTTATTTTTTTCTTTCAATAGTCTACTACAGAACAAACTATTATGCTTAGAGATGTGTTGAAGAAATCTCTTTGTTAAACAGAAATTGGGGGAAAAAATAAACAGGGGGGGTTAATAATTCTGACTCCAACTGTGTATTTACACTTCCGGTGAAAAGTTTGGGGTCAGTAGGATTTTTAAATGTTTAAAAAAAAAGCTTCTCCTTCTCACCAAGGCAGCATTTATTTTATCAATAAATATAAAATAACTAAATTACAATTTAATATTTTATTCTAGTGATTTTAAAAAATGAATTTTCAGCTTCATTACTACAGTGTTCAATGTCACATGATCTTTCAGAAATCACTGTATTATTATTATTATTATTATCATTATTATTAATAATAATAAAAGTGATAAAAGCAATAATGACTATAATTTAGTTTAAAAATACATACAGTACGAAAGCAGTTATGTCCATGAGATAAATAAACGTCACCATATGCAGCCATCATGCAGCCATTGGCTAAATTCTCCATCAGTCAAACTAGGAAGTAATTGATATGCAGCATGTGCAGAACATCAAAACACTCGACTGCTTTGTTTAGATATTAGTAACACTAACTTTGACTTTTATTCAGTTTGTGGTCTCATTTTATCTGTAACACTATAAGCTATGACATCGACTTGTTTTTTACAACAAAGACAAAAGTCTCTGGCAGAAATTACGACATAAACGAATAACCATCCATAATTCAACACTATTGTGTTGGTGGACTAAATGTGTTCAATGGGATTTTGTTCTTTAGACTCTTACCTTTCAGAAAATAAACCCTGATGTACAACAATGTATGCATGTGTGTCTTGTTATTTTGTTGATATTTACTCCATATCTAATAAGCGTTTTCTGTGCAACTTGCACACATTTAGCAAATACATTCTTTATAAGCTTCCGACTGAAAAACACCTAGCTGCAATAGCTGCTTGAGGGTTGTAGCTTTAGACTGATGTATAGTTTGTCAGGGTTATTTGAGTTCGTTTCGATGTAATCTATTCATAAACACAAATGTGCAAAAACAGCCTCCCAGTGCGTCCACATCCTGATGCTGGCTAAAATATAACATTTTAACAATATTTTACATTTAATAAATGGCACGTTGAAGAACAAAGTAATTTTCTTTAAAAAAAAAAAAAAACATGGAAAAAACCTTACCCCAAACTTTTGACCGGTAGTGTATATATGTTTCTGTATTTATTTTAGCTGCCTAAAGTCCATTTCCATTATTTATATTGTTTTTAATGAATTCAGCATTTTTGTTAACTACTATTGATTTATTATTTTCCGTTTTTTGTTTTGTTATGGCTCAAGAATAAGTGCTGAATTGGCAGGTATTTTGCTTGTTCAAATCCTCAGTGAAATCAAGCTTAACACATCATAGCCCACCGGCTAACAGCAAAATCATTATCAAAAAAAATAAATAAATACTGACCTCAATGCAACTCAAATATGAATGTTCTGAAGAAGCAGGAGCCTGTGATTCCTGCATTTGCTAAGACTCTGCCAATAAAAAAGTGAATGTAGCATTGCACATTGTTCAGCTTTGAAGTCTTTCTTGGCTGACAGTGATTCCATCATCACTAACCTGTGCGTCAACCAAATTGGGGCCAAATGTCACCCTTTATAACTTCACTTTTTTTCTTATTTCTTTTTTTTTTTAAACCTTCAGTGCCTCATGCACACCAACAGCCGACAGTCGGCGGTTTATATTCCGGTATCTGCAACGTAGCAAGTCTCTGTAGGTGGATCGCAGGTCCCGATTGAAAAAAGCATAAATGAAGGGGTTCATTAATGAATTTGCATATCCAAACCACAACAGCGTCCTCTCCAGCCAGATCGGTATGCAACTACACTTGACCCCACAAATGAACGGTCTCGCTGTAGAAAGAATGAAAAACGGCAGCCAGCAAATCCCAAAAACTCCAACTATCACTCCAAGTGTGGTCGCTGCTTTCTGCTCCCTCTTAAATATGGAGATGTTCTGTCGTTCGCGGCTGAGCAATCGAGAAAGAGCGGCGCACTCCTCTGCTACTCCAGGCGTGTGTTGAGGTTTTAGGCCTTGCATCCTCAGAGCTTCGCTGGCGACGGTTTCAAGTCGTTCCCTGCGGGAGAAGTCGGTGAATCGATGCTTGGCGCCGCTTTTTCTGGCAGCTTTGAAGATCTTGTAGTACATGAAGAGCATGACGATCATGGGGATGTAGAAGGCCACAGCAGTGGAGTAGATGGTGTAGCCGAAGTCCTGGCTGATCAGACAGACGCCAGCCGTGTTGACGTTCTTCGCCCAGCCGCAAAATGGCGGAAGCGTGATGGAGGCAGACACCAGCCACACGCCAAAGATCATCTTGGCCATAAGTTGACCATTTTGACGAGCAGGGTAGGTCAAAGGGCGGGTGATGCCAAGGTATCTGCAATCCAAACAAATTAAAGTCATAATCAGAGCTTGACAGTGCTAGTATTTCAAATTTGTGACTAAAAATAGATGTCCATAAATGCTGCCTGTCTTGACCAGGACTCCCTAGTAGAAGATATTTAGTCTCTCAATGGGACTTTTCTGGTTAAATAAATAATCTGTGGGGATGTCGAAAGTACTGACTTCAGTACTGAAATTTAGTGGATTCTTTAAGACCACTGATTGGCCCGTGTGTTGATAAACTGAACAAAATTGACTATGATTGAAAACATTTGCAAATAAAGCCCCATTTAAAAAATGATAAAAGCGATAGTGAGGGATAGGAGCTCTGTTGTGGTTCACAATCAAGATGTTAATCAGGTTGCTTTATATAAATATTTAGGGGTTCATATTGATTTTGAGCTTAATTGGCACTCTCATGTGTCAAGTGTAAGAAGCGCTTACACTTTTTTCATAGACTAAGATTATTCGGAGTGAGTAGCAGCATAATGCTAACCTTTTTTAAAAAGCAACAATAGAGTCTGTTTTTAGATATGGAATCATTATTTGGTTTGGAAATTTAACAGTAAAAATGAGAACTCAAGTAAATAACGTGATGAGAGTGGCAGGGAAAATTATGGGAATTGAGACACTCAATTTACCTCAAGACATCTTTGAGTTGTGCATAATTCAACAGGCCAGCAAGATTTTATCTGATTCTTTGCATGGGTTGTTTTTGGAGTATGAGCTGATGAATTCTGGCAGAAGATAGAGGGTGCTATTATGCACGTATACAAGATATAAATACTTTTTTCAATTAAATTGATTGAGCAATGATGGTAGGATGGTTAAAAATAGGATTACATTGGTTAGCATAACAGGGCAGTGGGTGTACATTGTATTTTTAAATTAATGTTTTTAATGGAACTGTATTTTAATTAGGATGGATTTTAGGATTAGGATTAAGGTCTTTGTTATATGTCATTGTCACAGTGATGAGTGATCTAGTCCATACAGATTGCTGGAAAACTACAAATCCACCACCTAAAGAACTACAAATCCTGTCATACACCACACACTCACACCTATTCCTGTTTCGCATTGATTACAAACACACACATACACACACACAAACACACACTGATTATTTTGACTTTATAAGCAGCATAGACACACACACACACCAGTTGATAAATCTTGTTATGCTGTTTGTGAACAATATGCATGTTTCCATTGTCTAGCCTAGCTGTGTTTTGACATTTGCCTTGTGTTATCATTTTAATTCATTGCTCATTGCACCGACTATTTGCCTGCTCTTTGACCAAGACTTGGGATTGCTCTGCATTTACCTATTTGACCATTGTCTGCCTGACCATTCTCATAATAACCTGCATTTTTATCCTCAACTCTGTTGTTAGCACTCTTCACATGACAGTTGTCTTGTGGGTGTCTATGTACAGCAGAGCGCTTTTTCTAACAACAAATTTCTCCTGAGGGAGAACCTTGAACAAAGTCACACTATTTGAAGTTCATGTTGGAATTTGTTTAGTAAATGTGACTTCATCAAAGTTTATGCACATTTTTTGTATTGTATATAAAATGTATCCTCCTCTTTAGTACGCATAGGTTTTTTAATGCAGATTTTCAACATATGTGTGCACCATGGCCTGTCCTTTAAGCATTTGGATAGTGGGCTTGACAAACCACTTGTAGAAAACACACTCCTTCATCTCTGCCACACCTTAACGGACACTTGCACCAGTTTTGCACATTTGCACCAGACACTTTCATAGAATCACTTCATATCTCTAGATAAAAGCATGAATTTCTGAAGTGTGCTTTACACATGAATGTAGGCTTGACAGACCACTTGTAGAAACACTCTTTTCTCTATATGCAGCAGACACTTTAATTAAAATCCATCTTACATTACAATCACTCATTCATTCATTCATTCATTTTCCTTCAGTTTAGTATCTTTATTCATCAGAGGTCCCAACAGTTGAATAAACCACCAACTTATCCAGCATATGTTTTACACAGCGGATGCCCTTCCATCTGCAACCCAGTAGTGGGAAACATCCATACACACTCATTCACAATCATACACTACAGACAATTTAGCTTATTCAATTCACCTATAGCACATGTCTTTGGACTGTGGGGGAAAAAGAGCACCCAGGGGAAACCTTTGCAAACATGTGGAGAACATGCAAACTCCACACAGAAATGCCAACTGTCCCAGCCAGGACTCAAACTGGGGACCTTCCTGCTGTGAGGTGACAGTGCTAACCACTGAGCCACTGTGTCTGACTCCTGTCCCTCGGGCTCTGCGCTGGTTGGGGAAATTCCAAATCGAACCAATATAAACAATTACAATTGGTTTAAGATTGGCAAGCGAAATTCGTGACATTGTTCTGGGTTCTGCAGGTTTCAAAGAAAAGAAAAAAAGTCAAACAATGTTTACTTATGAATGTATCTAAAATCATGTTACACTACTTGTTTTCTTTAACTTTAAATAACACATTTGCACAATATCTTGCATAACATTGTTTTGTCTTATGTAAAAGTACTTTATAGTCTGTTTTAAGTTATGTTTGAAGTTTAAGTATTTATAGCATATGTATAGTTAGTAGTTAGATTTGTGGTCATAGTTATGATTATTTATGTAGCACTGTGGTCCTGCGAGACTCGACATTTCATTTCACCGTATGTCCACACATGTAGCAGAAGGATAATAAAGCTTAGCTTGACTTAACTTCGATACATTAAAATGCACGTAAAAATAGGTGTATGGAAATACTGTGTAGTATAATATTGCTTGTTGAAAAGTGTCGAGTGATCATCATTGGATCACAGTAATACTTTTTGGAGCATTTGAACACAATGGTCAATCAGTGGTGTTCAAGAGTAAAAACAAAACAGCAGAACAATCAAAAGCAGAACAATAAAACAAATCAGCAGCCTGTAAATACTGGGATTAGCATGTCAACTTACAAATAACTCATTATGTTCTCACAATAACAACACTGGTTTTCCAATACATTGATTTATTTGTGGCTGTGTGAGAGTTTTCATATTGAGTGTATGTATTTGACGGTAACCGGCTGTCTACTGAAAGTTTTGTTTTGGCGGCCATTGAATCGCCTCTCAGGCAGTATGCTCAGCCATTCTATCTGAATGGGGAAACATTAAATTCTCCAAAATTGTTTGCCAAGCTTACAATTACATTATTTTTGAATCAACAATAAAATTACAAACAACAGCTGTCATAAGTTTAGTTTCTAAACGTTCAAAGCAAACAAAATCTGCATTTTTTTCAGGGTGCTCAAGCTAATGCGCACTCGATAGAAACAAGATCACGACACCAACCTCATTTATGGCAGTGTGACACTTTTTCATCCTCTAAATAATGCTTGTGAAGTAATTCACAACTTGGTCCTGATGGTAAATCTCCTCCAGAAATGACAGCAACTCTTTGTTTACAAGTTTGTGGGCGTTTGAGTAGCTGCTGCTGTCATGTGATGTGCGTTTAACAGGACGGACTGTACCTCGCAATCGTTTCATACAGATTACAAAACCAAAAAGCTTTTGTTTTCAAGTGTAAAAGGCCCATTTAAAAGTAGAGATTTAAAGCTTTATGCGGATATTCTTATGTCAGTGAAACAAGTATTCGCTGAGATTCCATTTTGTTTGTTGACCACATAAATTGTCGTAAAAGCACACGTCTGGTCTGAGCTTCTCCCTCAGAGAAATGTCAATCTATAGCGATCAATGATTGCCTCCTGTACTAGTAGGTTGGGCTTCATTGACCATTACACTTTTCCCCATTCAAAACTACATGAGTGACATGTCTTGTGTAGTCTTTGTTTAAAGTAACGTTAGCATTTGTGAATACAGGACTGCTTTGTTTACAGTTGTTGCTGAGAAACCGCTTCCGCAGCTCCAAAAGCATCTCTTGCTGGCACATAATGCATCTACTGTTTTTATAACGGTTTTATCTACGAGATTTGTAATTTATGCAGCTACTTGATGTCAGAATGCAAGTCATAGATGTTCGCAAAATCACTCTGGACGCACACTACCTGTTTGAACTATTACCGTCTGGTCTGCGCTTCAGAGCATCAAGCACAAAAACAGCCAGACACAGGAGAAGTTTCTTATCTCAGGCTATCTACCTTATGAACAGTTAATTATTCCCCAACTGTGCAATATACATGTGCAATACTTTCTCATACGCACTTGTATACAGCACCTTATATCAATATACAATGCAATACTTTCTCCATTCGCATTTGTAAACAGCACCATATAACCTGTATATTTATAACAAATCTGTACATACAACTCAACATCCAGATTTCTTGACTACACTGCAAAAAAATGCTTTTCTTACTAAGATTTTTTTGTCTTGTTTCTAGTCCAAATATCTAAAAGTTCTTAAATTAAGAAGCATTTTCTAAACTAGCAAAACATATTGTCTTGTTTTAAGAAATAATATGCCAAAATGAAGTAAGTTTTTCCTTAAATCAAGCAAAATAATCTGCCAATGGGGTAAGCTAAATAATCTTATCACAAATCAAAAAACAAGATTATTTTGCTCACCCCATTAGCAGATTATTTAGCTTGATTTAAGGAAAAACTCACTTCATTTTGGCATATTATTTCTTAAAACAAGACAGTATGTTTTGCTTGTCTAGAAAATGCTTCTTGGTTTAAAATTTTGTAGATATTTGGACTAGAAACAAGGAAAAAATCTAGGTAAAAAAAGCATTTTTTGCAGTTTAACTGCATCTCTGTTGAATGTTTATTGTCTTTTTTTTCCATATTTCACTTTATGTACACTAGAAGCTTCTGTAGCCAAAACAAATTCCTTGTATGTGTAAAGCACACTTGGCAATAAAACTGATTCTGATTCTGATTCTGCAATAATTGGTCACATAGTAATTAGTGTACTATGTCATATTTGGTATCCATGACACATCAAGGTTCACGTCATATGATCTGAATGTTGCA